TTGCAATTGATTGAAGTAATTTTTGATAACTCAAAAAAAAAAATAGCAAAGCTCTGAAGCTTTTTTGATGTATACCAGAGAGAGAATACTATCTGATCTCGCCATTTGAACCGAACTACATATCCTATTTGCAAGTTTAGTCAGCAGAATAGCGCCTAACGAAGCATATGGCTCTCCTCCTCCTACGTCTTGGTTGTGACCGTCAACAAAGTGATTTTAAATTACCAGTTATTTCACGCTAAATCGAAACTGTGACTTGCATATATGTATGTACTTACATGTCCACATATGTGCACTCACGGCAAAAAGTATTGGCACATAAAATTTTTCACAATATTTTATTTTAACAATTTTTGTTTTATTTTTCGTATAATTTATGAAAATATAGTTCATGCTACTACAACAAAAAAACATTGAAATATAATTGGTAAGCTTTGTGTAAAACTCTGAAAAATTAAAAAAAAATTTAATGCAAATTTTAAACTTTTTAATCAGTTTATAAAATTTTTTTTGCTCTGATTTTTGAGATTTTTTTTTGTTGTAAGTGTTTTGTATATTTTTCCATACAAAGTATTTTAGATTTTTGTTGTATGGAAGAAAATGCTTGAAAAAAATGCCAAAAAATTGCACTTTAGTATACCATAAAATTTAATGGGCTACAAAACTGCATAATCGATAAAAATCCTAAAAAATCTAACTAAAAAATTTCCATGACAATTGTTTGAATTTTTCTAAATTTTGCACAAAGTTTTGAAATCATATTTTTATTTTGTTTTGTTTTTTGTTGTAATACGAACCATATTTTCATAAAAAACTAGCGGAAAAAGCAAAAAAGTTTTGCATATATTGTGAAAAATTCTCTGTGCAAATACTTTTTGCTGTGAGTGTATATATGTATGTCTATGTAAGCATCACAGCGTGCCAATATGCCATGCCATGCATGCTTCCATGAACATTTCGCCGCACTGTCCGGTAGGTGTAACATGAAGACGATATCCCAAAGTGGACATGTTATAAACACTTCACTAGGCATCACTTCAAATTCACACAACAACAAACAGTCAAGCAAAACAAAATAAAAAATAAAAATACGAAACAATGCCAGCAACAACAGCAATCGAAGTTTGCTCGAAAAGGATTTCATATGCAACGACGACGACGACGAGAGCAACAACAAAAACAAAAACAAAAAAGCGTAAGAACAGTTCAAAAAATTATGAGAAAAGGTAGCAAGCAGTCTCAATAATATGCCGAAGTAAAGCAAACTATAGAAAGGTGTTTAAGAAGACGAAGAAGTGCAGGATTAAGCCGAAGAGACATAAGAAATAAATGCTTAAGCGATGGCGTGGCGGCGTGGTGAGGTGAGATGAGGCGAGTAGAATATAGAACTTTATTTGGCACATTGGCGCAAAAAAACAATAAGGACGACATTGGACACAACAACAACAACAATAAGAAGAGTAATAAAAACAAAAAAATAATAGGTACCAACAAAAAACCCCAAGCAACAACAAATATAAAGTCCGCTAACAATTTCTTGGAAGCGCCGATATCGTTCACACATACATACTTGCAGTTGCTGTTGTGCTTTTTGTTGTTGTTTTTATTGTTGTGCTGTCGTTTTTGTTATAGCCTAGTCCTTTCGCTTTAGCTCAGCTTTGGTCTAACTAACCCTTGTTGTTATTGTTGTTGTTGGCATTTTGTAATCCATATTCTGATTTTATCCGAAAACTAAATTTTTTGTTATTTAGCCTTCTTGCGTTGCTTTCAAAGAAATCTCAAGTTCTATAAGTACATACATATATATAACTACAACAAATAAATTGTGGCATGCCACTGCTATTGCCATTTTACCGCCCTCAGTGACGCTCTATCTCTCTCCCTCTCTCTCTCTCTCGCGCAGGCACTGTTTTGCAGCCAAGCAAGGCGCAGTGGTCCAAGCTCACCGCCAAGAGGCAAGTATCCGATATTTTGCTTTACGCAATTTTGACGCCTTATTTTCTTATTTCTGCTCCACAAGTTTCAACTTCGCTTAAAATTTTTTTCATTTTTTTTATTTTTTTTTTTAACATTTTGTTGGCGTCCACATATATGTATTATACAATACATGTGACCGGTGTGCATGTGTAATAGTAGTCTTTGCTTTGTTTGTATGTATGTATGTTTAGCTGTGTGCATTCGTGCCTTGGCGTTAAGTAAAAGGGAAGCGCATTCAAGTAATCATTGAGGCGTTTTTATTTAACACGTTGCGAGGCATCAAATTACCCCCTCAAAGAAAAGTGAAATATGTATAAAAAAAAGCAAAAAATTATAAAATAAAATAAAAGTTTAAGATACAAATAAAAAAAAAAAGTGCCAGCATAAAATATGTATGCACAATAAAATGGTAAAGGAAGTGAAAAAGACGCAAAAAAAGTGCAAGAAATTGAGGTGTAACAAATATCGAACACGAAAATCTACGCGAATGCACTGTGAGAAATGAGCTGACTTTGATGCACCTCTGGATGCAGTTATTCTAGAAATGGCTTTCTTTATTTTATTGTTAGTTATTTCTTATAAAGCACCTATTTTAGGTAAAATTTTCGAGTGACGAGTGCTGAAACACAAAATTTATTATATAAATTTCGTGACGAAAATTATAAAAATTTTTTTTTATTGCCTTGGAAACTGGAGGAAAATGTTTTTATTCAGGGAAGTTTGTGCTGACTTGTTGTTATTCCAAGCTGCTATCTCTTGACCATAAAGTTCTCGACAATTTACTACTTCTGAAAGATACTTCTTGATAATTTTCTTAAAATCGAAGTAGTAAAAAAAAGATTCTCTACTGGTCGTTTTTTTGTTCCGTTGTTTTTTTTTGTTTTATTTCGCAATTTAAATTCATACTTGAATCTAAGATATTAATTAATAAAAAAAACTTGCATAAGAAAAATACTCATAGGACCTTTTAATGTACATACAAATATAAATATTTGATAGTTTAAGACAAACAAATTTTAATCAGGTAAGAACTTGCAAATTTCCATTTAAAAAAATTCCCTTTTAATTTTATTTAATAGCTCAAATTGGAAAAAATGTAGTTTTAGCTTTTTCGTGATGTATCAAAAACTAGGTCTGGTTTTTCAGGGCTTTCCAGATACACCCGGAACTCTCCTTGGATTTTTTGGCATCGCTTTAATTTACTAGGCTTTTTTGTGCCTTTTCTTGAAACTTTTTCGCCAAGGTTCTGAATTATTCGGGACTTTTCGAGTTTTTTTTTGGACCATTCGGTTTTTTTTCGTGGTAGGTTATGACTGCTTTTCAGTCGAAATTATTAAGCTCACTTCCAGGAAGGTAAGCCGAAGCGGCATTGAATATTGTTGCGCCTTACAAAAGTTCCGTTTCAGACACTACGTTCCCGATCACATGGTAAACCGTGTAGAATAATTTCGTGCCTTGGCTGTTTATCAATTTTCAAAAGTTTTAAAGACTTCACTAGTTTAGTTTCCTTAAAGGTTGTAATTTTTCATTACCAAGATCTAATATGAATTTGATTGTTGGGCCTCGCCTACGCAGAGCTTATGGATGAGCTGATCAGCGAGCAAATAAGCGCTTTAGTAGAACAAACCCAGTACATGCATTTAAGTTTGCACACCAATATAACGAGGAGGTCTTTAGCGTTATTCTGTTTGTCTTTTAGCAATAAGTTTTCAAAAAATTAAACTAAATAAAAAAACATTTTTTTTTTTAAAGAAATAACACTAAAAATAAGAAGAAAATTAAGTTAGAAAAATAATAATTTTAAAATAAGAGATAAGTTTCTGAAAATTTAAAGCATTTAAATTAAAAGCAAAATAGTTTTCCTTTTAAAACCATAAAATCTAAAAATTAAAAGAAAACTCAATAAAAAAGATAAAAAAAATATTCTTAAAAAAATACATATTTAAATTACGAAAAATTACATTAAAAAAAAAAGAATTTTTATTAAAAAATAACAAAAAACACAAAATGAAATGAAATCTAAAAATTAAATTAAAAAGGTGAAGAGTTTAAATAAAAATAAAATTTAAATTAAGTTTCTAAAACTTAAAGGAAATAAAAAAAATACAATAAAATCTAAAAACTATAAGAAAATTCAATCAAAACCAAACAAAGTCCAAAATAGAAAAAAATTCATAAAAATTTACTGAAATTAGCGATAACTTCTCTCTTTTTAAAACAATAAAATATAAAGACTGCCAGAACATTTAATTAAAAATGAAAAAATATGAAATTTAAAAAATAAATAAAATATGTTCCTAAAAATTAAATTAAATAAAACCTAAAAACCTTATTATCAAAAAATTACGAGTAAAATTAAAAAAGGTGAAATTGATTGAATAAATTTTTTAAAATTAATGAAATAAAAGAATATTTTTCCTTGAATAAAAAAACAAAATCTAAACCTGAAAGAAAATTCATTTCAAAAAAATTGGATTGAAAAACGATAGACAAATTAAATCGAAAGGAGTAAGAAAAATTAAATAAATTGAAATTAAAAACAAATATTTATCAACAAAGTAAAATCTAACACTTAAATAAACAAAAATGTGAAATTAAAAAAGACAAAAAATAAGTTCCTACAAATTAAATGAAAGTAAAGAAACGTGCTTCCTTTTGAAATAATAAAATCTACAAAAAAAAAACAAAAATTTAATGAAAAAGAAAAGTGATTCATAAAATAAGAGTCTAAAAAATCAAAAAATTAAATTAAGAAAAAGAAAAGATCCGCTGCCCGAGGATTTGAACCTAGAAACTCTCACACGGCACGCCAGTGCTTTGCTCACTCGACAATTGCGAAGCGCGGACAAAATTATATACATTTATCTCCATTTGGAAGATGCTCAAGGGCTTTTGGTCAAAAGTGCTTTCAAACTATCTTGGATACTGTATTTTAATTGTCCACTAAAAACTTGCAACTATCTTAGCCGCAGAAGTATTCATTTGTTACTAGCTATTTGTGCTTGCACTTTAAATCGACTTACCAAAATTTCCGCTGTCGTATCGGTACTTTGCACTCCATCAGCTACACGCAACTCCAACACATATTTATCCTTCAACTCACGATCGAGTGCATCTTTCAAGCGCAACCGACCCGTCTCAGGTTCCAGCAGAAACTTCTCATCGCCACCGCCAATCAAGCTGAAGGCGAGCGAGCCCAGAGTGTCGGGATCAGTGGCGCGTATTGTAGCAACATGATGGCCGGCGCTTGAATCTTCGCTGACATTAAAAACGAGCGGAGTGTCACGAAACACAGGCGGACTATCGTTTTTGTCCAGCACTTTGACGGTGACCTGCAAGTAAATAAAAATTTATATAAATGTGAAAAATGGTTAGAAAATTTATGAATGGCAAAAACAAAGAATTTATTTAATTAAAAATTTATTTTGCTTTTATGTATATAGTAAATGCAAAGTGAAAATTTTTATGGTATTTAATGTGCGAAAATGCTAACATAATAAATCCCAACTGATGTGTGAAGTGCACATTTATGGCATATCGCAAAACATGCACTTATTGGAATATGTAGGTGGTAAGTGCTGCACATACGTAGGTACGAATATTACACGTATAAAATATTACTGTATGCAGTGAAAATTGCTGGTACTTATGCGGTTATCAGCAGAACTAATCAGCCTTCGAATCAGCTTATACCAGTTAAGCTAATGGCGTTTTCTTTTCTACAAAAAATGTTGCCCTTTCATTGCCTTCTCCTTAGTATTTGTGCGTAGAGGCCCCTGCGAAGGCATCATTTTTCGGTAGAAAAGAAAACCTTTTCTTTTTCTCTCACGGTCCAACTGTGACACAACCACCTAAAACTAACCAACCTAAGCTGGAACTTTGGCATTTTTCGGAAGAATTTGGATACTTTTCAAAATATTTTCACTACTTCTCGGGATTTGCTCGAAAATTTTCTGGTTTTTTCGCACATTATATATATTTTCCAGAGCTCTTTGAAGATTCTTCAGTAACCCCTGCAATTTTTTCTGTATTTCGTTTGCGTTTTTCGTAATTTTTTTTCAGAATTCGGTCGGATTTTTTTAAATAAATTTTATTCACAATATATTTTTTTTTATTAAATGAGCATGTTTTGTCCGTGAATATTCCAGGCTCCATGAGTTTTTCTGGCACATTTCCGAAATTTTCTAGAAAATTTATTTTAAAATTCTTTCAGGTATCTCAGCATTTGTTTAAGTAACAGGAGCCTCTTTTTTCAAAAATTCTTGGTCTATTTTTATGAATTTTCGTTACTTCTACGCTTTCGGGGATTTTTCTTTTGTTTTGAAAATTTCCAAAGTTTTTTAAGACTTTTCAAAACTCCAATTTTGCAATTTTAAGTGGACAAATTTTGGCTCATATTTTCGCTTTTGGAAAATTTTCACATTTGTGTGTTATACGAAACTTTTCTGTGGGTTTTTTCCCAAAATTTCTGCAATATTCAGTAGGTATATATTTTTGCTTTCCAAAAATTCCGATATTTTGAATATTTTTTATGCCCCCCTCTCCATTTTTTTGTAGATTTATTTTTAGTTTCCTTTTTTATTGAAAATTTATGGAAACTTTCAGAAACTTTCGTATATTTGGGAACTTTAGGAATTGTTAGGTATTTGACGAATATTTTCCAAATTTTCATATTGTTTGAGAATTTAGAATTTTCAAGTGTTTTCCGAGGTGCAGTTTTCTGAGATGTTACCAAAATTGTTATTTTAAGATTTTTCGCAATTTTTTTTTTAGTATTGATCTTCGTCGGTGTTTTATTTGGGATTTTTTAATATTTCTTAAACATTTTCATACAATTTTTTTGGGGATTTTAACTGGTAGTTGCGTCAATTTTCGTGTCTGTTTTTTGGGCTTTTCTTTTTTTTCGGGATACCCGGAACTTTCTCGCTTTAAAATTCTCCGATAGTTTTTGAATTTGTTGATTTCATTGCTCTATTCAAAACACTTTGTTCAAGTTCGGTGCCATTCGTGATCGTCAACTTTTGAATTTAGTTTTACGAAAAGGTATTTTCTCCCCACTATTCGTATGATTGAAAACTAAACAAAATTTCACTTCAAGACTTTTTCGTAAAAAAATTTTAGATTTTTGTGGTGACAATAGATTAGTTTTTCGGAAAAGTTAATATTGAGAAAAGATAACTATTTATTGATTCCTCGTAAATGAAGAACGGAGACGAAATGACTGACAAATTAGCAATTTAAAGAAACTTTTATTGGATATCGCATGAAAAATGCATTAAATATTTTATATTTTGCTATCCTCTCAGACAACTTTGAATATACAGGGAATATAATAAAAATATTTTCACTCATTTAAGTAGTCTAGAGGGAGTTGGAGTTCGAAGGTATTTGAGAGGTTGAAAAAGGCACTTCCGAGAAAAAGTTTCAAATAAAAGTTAAATACTTTTATCTTCAGAATCCCAATCTGTAGTAAGAACATGTTAACCTACTTCCTGAAGAAACTAGAACTCGGTAGTACCGCAAAAATATAGAACATCCGCGATTTCGTAGGTAAAATTGTTGCGTTTTTTCATTAAAATATATTTCCCTCGATGGACGTCTAGGACACCCTGTATTTTTTTCATAAAAACAAAACATTTTTTCCTATATTTCAAGGCATTTGAAAGGTCAGGAATGACGCCGAATTTAGCCGACATATTTTGGTGGGAATCTTGAAGTTGGATAACCGTTGTTTTTTTTTTTATTTGGGCCACTCTAATGCACAGGTGGGCATAAACGAAGGGGAGGTGCCATACCATAATGACAATTCAATAAAATAATTAATTGTAATCATAACCATATATTGCTTGTTCGACTAACGCATTTTATCGCTACAACAACAACAACAACAACAACAACAACCACAACAGCACAATCAGCTAAGATAACATTACTTTACAAGTGCTTTGAACAACAAGCAACAAAACAGCGGCAGGCAACCTCCAGTGGCCGCAACAAGCTTGCAACACGTGTAGAAGACATACCAGAATACAACAAAAAAATAAAAAAATAAAAAAACTTACATACATACTTGCTGGAGAAGGCAGCATGGTAAGCGAGAGAGAGTAAAAGATTCAATTAGACAGAGGCACAGCAAGTATTTCGCTTCTGCAGCGTTCAGGATGGAGCAAAGCCGTTGGTTGTGGCAACAACTGTGTAGCTGCGGACTACACCACCGGTCTTTTGTTACTACACAACAATAAAACAAAAGAAAACATGTACATGTAGTTGTAATAGCTGAGTTAGCCGACGAGTGTAACAACGAACGCCAACACCACCACTAACGCTGCGTGCGCGCCATTTACCAGCAGTGGTGGTAGCTACACATTTTTAATTCAATTAAAGGCTGCTACAAAAAGGTGAGCTCGCGCTGCTATCAACCATCACAAAATCACAGCCAATACAATAGCAGTTAAGCGCGAGCGAGCTTAATACACATACGCCACATACGGAATTCTAAGCAAAATGGGTGTGATGATGCGCGACATGCGATACGCAGCTGCGATTGGAAACAAAAGATGATGAAGAGGAAAAAGTAGTAGTAAGAGTGGCTAGTGCGGCAAGGTTGCTACGAGCACTAGCCCAGTAGAGGTTTGCCGCTTGCGCACTGTGTAACCCTACAGCTAGTGAAGCCAAGCAGGCCGACAGTAAGGCGAGCAGCACCAAACAATCAGCCAACAAGTTAGCCAGTCTAAAGCGAAGCGAATACTCAGCACTGGCGGCCAACTACCCCAGCACACTAGCTAGGTTGCTATGATTATTTGTGTGCTGCTGTAATGCAATAGCGAAGCAAAGAGCAGCTGCCACAACTACGCGCACACCGTATGCCACATGTGGCACGCACCACTCAGTTGTATCGCAGGCAGGCGAGCGCTACACAAACGGCGGCGGCGCAAAAGTTTCACTCTGTGTTGAAAATTGTTATTGAAGTAATCATATAATTACGACTTTTTCTAGTCAAAAGTCTGTACTTTAAAAGGAAATAGCTGCTCGTTGTGAGGCGGTGAACATGGCTAACTGCTGCGAAAAGTGCTTATCCCCTCCACGATGAGCGTAGGTAAGTAGCGCAGCGAGGTTAAGGAGGGTGGTGTTTGGTGAGTGCGCTTTAGCTAGGCTAAGCTGTCGCTCTAAGCCAACCATAGAGCTTAGAGATTTTTTCAATGACGCCGCTGCACCTGACTGTCGGACTGCCTAACCGGCTGAGGGACCTCTAAACGCTTGCCGTGTGACACACTTGACGGCGAGAGCTGCTGCAGCTAAATTTCAAACGCGCTCACTTGCACACATATCAAATGGTATATCTGATATCAAGGTACCAACCAGCAGCTGCTGTAATTTTTTTGTCTGCCGTGTGGCTGTCGGCTGTTTAACACTGATTGACCGATTTTTGAGTAGAAAATTACTGAGATCTGTAAAATTACATTCGCTGTGCGTTTAAAGCGATATTATCGCTGCCATATTTTGATATGGTTTTCACAAAGTAACGCAACTAAAGGCCTCATAATAAGTATGCGTTAATGTTGAGCTTAAGTAGTTGCTGTTTAAGTTAGGAAAAATAAAAATGAATATTTTTGATCGCAGAGAATTTTCTTTGAAAAAAAGCCTCATAATGCATTGAAGCTTACAGCTAATTTCATTTTGTATTATCCGCTCGCAGTACTGAAAGAATTCGGCTTCAGTCATACATCGCAAAAGCCACTAACCAGCTAGTAGTCGAGGTGCTAACGGTATACATCATAAATCAGTGATTATCATACAACGAAGACAAAGCGATATTTTAAATTTTATAAAAAATCTTTTTCTCTGCAGTAATTTACTGACTGGACAAAATTAATGAAAGTAACATTAGACTGGGCAATGGCCCAGCTGTGGTTGTAAGTGTTCACTGGAAATCCTATTCTGCAGGTATGCATTCTCATTGAGCAGCGACGAGTTATGACCCCCAAAATTAGCCTAAGTCGGTGATGTTTAAATAGATGAAGAGCGCTGGACTTCCCCTTATCCAACCTAGATTAGGGTTGAGGGGCTGTCACCACGCAGATCGTGTAGGCACACGTGACTTGAGTTTGTTGTGATTCGTCGGAATCTATTTGTTATTGATAAAATAGTGGATATTCTTATCGATTTTGATATCGATATTTTTATCGATTTTGTTATCAAAATTTTTATCGACATTGTTGTAAATTTTTTAACGATATTTTCGGAACTTATCGATATAATAATCGATATTTTTATCAATTTGTTATTGATTTTGTAATCGATATTTTAAACTATTTTGTTAGCGATATTTTAA